AGGTTTAGGTGGCCGGGCCTAGGCCTCCCATGAGGGGACGTCACGGGCTTGCCTCGACGCCTCCTCACGGGCGTGCTGGGTCGCCCAGGTTTGGTCGTCAAGAGCGGGGCTCCGCAGAGCCTCATGGAACTTCGACCAAAAGGTCGTGGCGTTAGTGCGCCTGTACTGTGCCGGGTGAGTGCCGCAGCACCAGCAGTGGGAGGTTGTGTACACGTCCGGGAATATGAGGTGAAGGCGGGCAAGCCAGGCATATGTGTTTGTATGAAGTAGACGCAAAGTGGTGGCCTGTGCCTGTTTGAGCTTGGGTTGAGGTGGGGAAAGGCTCGGCGTGTGAGGTAAAAGTTCTTAACGAGATCATTGTAGGTGGTCAGGCTGTCTCTGGTGTCCATCTCGCCTCCAGTAGCTCCAGCGCAGTTGACAAGGCCTCACGCAAAAGACACTCCGTGTATATGCGTTTTAGGGACGAAGCTCCTTATGACGTGGCTTGTGCGTCCCTCGTAGTACGTAACCACCAGTAATACATACGCGAAATAGCGGTCCTTACGATTTTGACCTCCAAGGTGGTTCCGGTGAGAGATTTCTTCTGTGCGTTGTTGAACAATAAAAGATAGTGCTCAATGCACATGTTAATGGCTGCTAAGGGGTAATGAGAGACAGGAGCATTTGGCCTTTAGGTAACGCGCACGCTGCGATCCCCATTAGCAGCTATTGGCATGTACATTGAGCACGATTTTACAAGAAAGGGTTGCTACGTTATACTCGCTGGGTGTAACCTCCTTGGTTTTAGAAAGGTTTAGCGAGCGTTGGGCCGCATAGCCATGAATACAGTGAACTAGTATATACCATGAGCTCGAGGTGGTTGAAGGTGGGAAGTAAACCCGAAGCACAAGCCGTAAGAAAGTGTGCATGTGCCACCTCCCGTTTAGTCCTTGAAATGCCCGCTGGATGGCGGTGCTTCTATATGGAGAATATATGATGAAAAGATGCGAGATGTTGGTACTTGGAGTGCTGAATAGATGGACGAACGGACACACAGACAGATGCATGGATGGATGCATGAACGGACGCAGGCGCGGATGCATGGACGAACGGAGGGATGGACGCACGAACAGACGCACGCGCGGACGGGTGGATGGACGCATGGACGGTTACACAGACGTACGCAGGAACGGACGGAAGCAAGAACGAATGGACGGACGAATGCTTCGCCCCACTCCCCATCATTCACTCCGTGGATATGCTGCCATTTTTTTCTACTTTTTTAATCGGCTAATTACTCGTAAAGAAACCGTGCTGCAGCGTTTGTATCACACGTACCACGGAATGTTCCCCGTGCGCTGTCATGACCATGAGTGGTACTTCCTAACTCTCCCAGGACCAGCACGTGAATCAGTCGAAGGGGAGAACAGCCACTTCCACATCAGAGTAGCACATTGCACTCGTAATGGAAAGGTGGCGGCTTCGGTTTTTTCCGAGGCCAAGGCGCTTTTTTTTTTTTCGTCCGCTTTCACCTCTCCTGATCTTAATATCATTAATCTTCACATGAAAATAGCAAATGACTCCCCATATGGTTGGCTGAGGTTTTATTACCGGTCTCCTTCGTGAGGTTCTATCTACAGAAACAAGCAGCCCGTCAACGGATTTTTCTTCGTATACGCATTCATAAGCAAAAAGGAAGAACGTGTGTTTTACTGCTACAATTGTGATCTATTTTCTAAAGGCTATATCATATATCGGCGTTTCTGCAACTTTCGGAAGGTAGCCACACGTTTCTTACATGCTCTCATACCCATACGATACTGCTCGAACTCAGGGAACCACCTGTAACGTTCTTAAGGCAGCGAGGTAGAGTTTCCGCCAGGCTAGTTGTGTGACATCCGCTGTTACCTAGGTCGTGGCACGAGAAAAACTTAACGAATAAAAGTGGCTTTACCGCCCGAAGGGAACAGCTGTTGCGTTTCTAAGAACGTACGTGTGAAAATTCCGGTCTTTTGTTTCCTTTCTAGCGAACAACGAATCTGAAAGTCGAGTCAAGGCGTGCGCTTCAATCAAGAGGAACACATCACAGATTTTGAGAAGGGAAAGCCTGTCTGTGAGAGTGACGTCATTGTAGCCTTGACTTCTTAAGTTACATTGGTACCGCTGCAAATAACTAAGGTAGTTCTGAGGAAGTCCCCTCTTTTTTTATCTACGTGTGCTAGGACCAGGACAGTTTCTGTCGTGGTTTCAGAATTTCACGAGAAGAGCGTGAATAAGGGACAGGCCTGGATGCCGACCATATCCTTATATTCGGTTCGCTACCCAGCGGCAACTATGTACCAGCGAGGGTTGCCTTTAGCGAGGTACCTGAAAACAGCACAGTTCAAGGGTTTTTCTTCTACTACTTTCACGTTATGGTAGCGTTTACAAGAAATGTGTTAAACCTTTTTAATTAGTCAGAGTTTGTTTAACGCCATTGTGCACTCGCTAGATCAATTTATTGGTAGGTGTATCCTCTCCCTCAACACTCCTTTTTTATGACTGTGTGAACTGCGTGTATTGGCATGATATTTACACTGGCTTCAGTGTGCCATTATGTTTTTTTTCCGTATTGTTTTTTTGGTACCGTTCTGTATTATTACTTTCTTTTTCGCTGCAGAACTTTGTGATCTGGAGTAGCTGAGGCAATAGGCACCTCAACCTCTCAACAGCAAAACAGTTAAAACAGAACAGAACAGAACTCCTTCTAACAGTATACTACTACACGTTAACTTGCTTCGCCAGTAACGAAACTAGATATTTACCTCACTGTGTAACAAGTGCAGATGCGCACGACTATAGTGTGCTCGAAAAAAAAAAGAAACTGCTGTCATGTTCGCACAGAAGTGATCCATTCTCGCGCACTGCGCACTCTCGCTTCATTTTGAATTCATTTGAGGCTCACTTTACCTCCGTTAAATACCTGGATTTTAAGTAGGTTTCCAACTTCCTTCTGATACTTGCTTTCTCGCAGCTATTGTCACAGATCTTCGCTTTTCTTTTTGTCACATTGTAAAGCACCTGCTTATCTGATAATTTTCAGAATGGCTCATTTCCTCGTAATGTTTCATTGGCCTCGAGAAAGGTAGGAAGACGCATACAAATTCAATACTGGGTGTTTCCAAAAAGTGTGTCCGAAATCTTCATTGGGAGAATGCTTTCTTTCCCTGTGTTTCACTGACGAACTTTCAATTGTAATACATTTCTTATATGTAATTAAATACGTGCTGTGAAACGATATGTGTTCCACTTTCGAAGATTCCTTTTCGATGTATCTCTTTTGCGCATTTCAGTTTAAGAATGACTTCACTCCATTCATGTAATGGCTCTCCAAGAAGGGCTAAGAGTATCACTAAATGAAATGAAATGGATGCAACAGGTATACTCGCTACCGTCACGTTCGCTTTTTCTGTAGCGGTGGCCATCTTGAGAAGGCAACATATGTGATGGTAATTGAAAAAGTTGCATTGATTAACTTCTTGATTAGTGGTACTAAGTCGCTATATCAAATCGGAGAATCGTACTTCTCCGTGCAATCAACCCATCGCACCTTTGGGATATGGAGAAGAAGAAGATATGGTAGAGAAAGAAAGGCATGCAAGTTAACCAGTCCAGGAAAACGAGCCGTTTGCTACCCTATACAAGTGCGACGCAAAAGGCAAGATTTAAAGAGCCCCGCCACGGTGGTCTAGTGGCTAAGGTACTCGGCTGCTGACCAGCAGGTCGCGGGATTGAATCCCGGCTGCGGCGGCTGCATTTCCGATGGAGGCGGAAGTGTTGTAGGCCCGTGTGCTCAGATTTGGGTGCGCGTTGAAGAACCCCAGGTGTTCGAAATTTCTAAAGCCCTCCACTACGGCGTCTCTCATAATCATATAGTGGTTTTGGGACGTTAATCTCCACACATCATTATCATCATCATCATCATCAAGATTGAAAGATATAGAGAAAATAGTGGAAAGAGAGAGAATGATACACACACACACAGCATGTACACACAAACATGCAGTCAGTTACATCTCCATCACGCTCGCGTGCTACGAGACGTCGCTCTCACAGACGCTTGTCCTGAGGATATGGAAAAAGTTACTTCTTCTAACTACTGGGGCGTGACGACAATTGAACGAAATGTAACGGCGAAACTTAAAAAAAAAACGTGGTTGAGCGCAACAAGCAGACGAACAGAATGACGTCACTGTTCCTTACGATTACAGACCTAGTTGTGTGGCGTTCGTTAACGTACGTGCGTCATGCGTAACAAATCTGTAAGGGGAGCCTACACCACCATCCCTCCTTTCCAACAAAGAGTCGATGGTTGATAGGACGACGCCCACTCGTTAGGCACGTCTCAGAAGATGGCAGTAATGCTCTTCCACGTTTCGATTTTGGTTTCGCCGGTGAATTTGGCGGAATTTCGTAACTTCAGAATTGTCACTGCAATCTTTTTTTTTTTCTAAATCTCAAAGTCGCAATGCGTTTTTCGCGCGAAGGACTTCGATTCTCCCGTTTGACACAACCATCTAACTTCACTAGTTTAAAATTAATTTAGCTTCATTTTTTGCTATCTCAAATAATGTATGTAGCTACATTAATATGACTGCGCCTATAGAAAAAAAGTCATTGTGAAGGCATCTAACAAACATCGCCTTTCTTTGACTTTCGAGAATTTTCGGACACATTTATTTAAACACCCTATATACACTTCTGCAGGTGATAATGATGCCATGTCCATCAACCTACATTAACGCCGCCGCGTTTACCGGAAGGTGACAGCGTATTCGTCCCGCAACACCAGTGTGCCGGGTTCCCCGTCGGGGGGGGGGGGGGGGTATGGTGCTAATTGTTGCTCTCTCCCTCTTATGTTCTCTCCCGCTATCCTCAGCCCGCATGCACAAGCCTGTGCGTACCACGTCAATCAACGGAAGCAGACAATCAGGCACGAGAACAGTAGTAGCTCATGGCGATGCTTTATTGCGAGAACGCAGCTAGATACCGGCCACCAGGTTGACGCCCGCCTTTAGCGACTGCCACTTAGAGCCGATGAGGTTGTGGAACACGTTGGCGATGCCTCCCACAACCTTGTCGTAGAAGAAGCCCCTGACGCGCGCGAAGACCCCCCTGCAGGCTCTCACGGCACCCGAGACCGCAGTGTTGCAGAAGTTGTAGACCCTGCGGAGCGCGGAGTGCGCCTCCTCTTGGTCTCGTATTGCGCCGGAGTCGACCGCGCTGACGAAGCCGCGAAACCTCTGCTGAGCTTCTTGATTCCTGCGCGTACGGTTTGGTGTGTTTCGGAGAAAGTTTCGTCTGTGGTAAAATACTTTGAACACTTGGAAAAAGTGCCTCTATAACAAGGCTTGTAACATAATCAAATTACTAACCGCAATGTACACAAAAACTTTTTTGCAGAAGTGTCTACGATAGATCCACGAGGTTTCCCTAGCCGTTGCTACTTAAGATTTACACACACTTACTACAATATACACAATGTATACATGATGTAAATGCATCATTATATAACTTGGTGAACATGTCAGCAAACATGTACATGTTATGATGCATGAAATTTTTATAATTTGTACTGTTACCATGAAGTTTATACATATATAAATAAAGCCCACACACACGGGGACATGCGCGCACATATATCATAAGTTATAAACTGTTTTCTACGTTTAATGAGAGTTTGGAAAAAGTTCATGTTAACGTTGGACGCTACGAATACTTGAGTATATCATATGCAACAAGAACAGTAACACATGCGAATAACTCAGCACATCCTGCATGAAACATTAGCCGACGCTTCCTATGACTCACCAAGCGCGGTGATGACATTGTACGCAAGAAAACTTACTCCTCTTCTTTTCTATCTTCCGTTCTATTATTCTCCTTTAACGCCACCCCAAGTGTAGGGTAGCCAACCGAGCCAAGCTTGGTTAACCTCCTTGCTTTTCCTCTCTATTTATCCCTCTCTCACCCCAACCAAACGTACATAACTGCGGCCCTCGTTGATACACCTGCCCCATACACGCGTCTTCGTCCGGGCCGTGTTCTAGCAGGGCCTCTTAGCAAGTTACGGAAATACAGTACATAAGTACGGCACGCTATTATCGTACCGCTTCTCCCTTCCCGGTCATTGACCTTTCACCAGTGAAGGCACCATTACTAACACAAAAGATCTTTCAATAGTTACTCGGGGAGGAGGGGGGGGCGTGACGCTCCTTTGTGGCCTGTCAGTTTATTCTTAACAAGGGACCTGTCGTTCGGAGGACGCACTGACACTGGGAAGGAGGAGCGCTATACCGTGCTGCCTTACCGTATTTGTGGACTGCATTTCCGTAACTTACGAAGAGACCCTGATAACCTCTCGAGATGCCTTTCGATCGTGGGCTTCTCGGGGATCTGCCGTTTCCGATATGATAATCTGATGATGTTTGTCGAGCAATGAATCCCTGGCAGTTCAGCCCCGAGCATTAGTAGCTATAGCATTCGACAGAAAGTTCATTCATTCATTCATTATTGTGTTCACTTGAACTTTCACGGTGCCACGTTTTACTGTTGACTGGATATGAACACATGACCGCCTTTGGCATCAGTGGCCTTGTCTGTGACTGTCTGGTTTAACCCGAGCCTCGTTGCGCCTAAGTTAACCTAGAAACAGCCGCAGGGCCGCTGTCTTTCTCCTTCTTTTCTAGTTCCTCGTTATTGGCGCTGTTTTTTATGTGAATCATGCCGTACAAACTCGCCCAAGCAACCACGTTAGCTAGAAACAGCATTATCAACAAGCTAACACTAATTGATGCAGGATGTTGTGGTAGGACGCTAAAATAGCAACATCGTAGAAGTATATAACATATAAATAACGTAGCATCAACTGATGAAAGCCTAGCAACAACCAAGAAGTAACCTAGATTCAATCTAGTATAAACTGCTTAAAGCCTATAGCAACAACATAAAAGTAATCTAGGCACAATATAACATCAACTGGTTAAACCCTATAGCAACAACGTATACAAAAGTAACCTAGACACAATGTAGCACCAACTGACTGATGCCTATAGCAACAACTTAGAAGTAACCTAGACGCAATCTAGCATCAACTGGCTAAAGCTTACAGCAACAACCTATAAGTAACCTATAGACGCAACCTAGGGTCAACTAGCTAAAGCCTAACAAAAACCGAGAAGTAACCTGGAAACAACTCGGCATCAACTGGCTAAAGCCTATAGCAGAAACCTAGAAGCACTTCGTCGCGGCTCGTTCGAACAACTGGTGTGGGAGATCAGAGAAGTGCTGCACTATGCGACCGAACAAGGACACAACGCCGTGTCCCAGTGGATACCAAGTCATTGCGGTATCTCCGGCAATGACCTCGCCGATGAAGCAGCCAGAAATCCACACGTACAAACCCTGTTTCCGTTCCTTTATCTAGGATTGATGTGGCTAGATACCTAAGTAAGCTGGCGCAGAACATGACACTCCAGAAGTGGTAGTCATCGCAGTTCGCACACCATCGACGGTATTCTCTCGACCCAACTCTACGACTGCGGCTACCCAGTGGTCTTTCAAGGGAGGAAGGTCGTACAGCATTGTGCCGTATGCGTCTGGGCGTAGCCTTCACCAATGCCAACTCATTTAAGATTGGGATGGTCGACAGTGCGGAGTGCTACGACTGCGCCATCGATGAGACTATTGAACACCTCTTATGTTCCTGCCCGGCATACACAAACGAGAGGCTTCACCTGCGCAGTGTTTTAAGTCAACTGGAAAGAAGTGACTTCACGGTCGAGAAAGTATTGGGACCATGGCACTGCTCATCCCAATTCCGAAAGGCAACGAAAGCACTGTTGCGTTTTCTCAGAGACACTGGCCTGTTTCATCATTTGTGATGTGAAACTGTTATGCGTCGGCCCAGTCAGTGACTTTTTTCTCCTCCTCTATAACTTTCCTTCTCATCTCCCCTTCTCCAGTGCAGGGTAGTCTACCGGGGCTCCGCCTTGGTTAACCTCCCCACCTTTCTCCTTATTTTCTCTCTCTCTCTCTCTAGAAGTTACCTAGAAACAGGCTGGGATCAACTGGCTAAAACCTAGCAACAACCTAAAAGCAATCAGATGAGACTTGAAAATCGTGCATTTTCTCTGTTCCAAGCCTTCCGGGACTAAGGGCAAGGCTTCATTCGCTTCGTTATACCGTAAAGTTAAGTAGCGCACTTTATTACATAGACAACTGGGACAAGAAGGGCATGACACTGCGTGTGCTGAGTCCTTCTTGTCCCTGCTGTCCATGTAAAAAAGTGCGCTACTTAATCTTTCATTATGATGATGAGCCACCAACTAGTCCAGCCCTCAACCTTATTAAAATTGAGTCACTTATAGGGTGGCCTTACCAAGCCGCCTTAGCGTTTCTTTTAAAGGCTAAATCAAATTTGAATGCGGCATGAAACTAACATATTCGTTATATAACGCCACGTTATATTGTCACAGGCGCTTGCAATGATCTATTCGTACGAATGGCCAAGCAGGCAAAAGGCGGAAGAGGGAAACGACGTTCTATCGAGGCGTTCATCTCTGGAGAAACGTTAACCATCCAGACTTGTCTGGTTTTCAGAAACCCTGACGATACGTACAAATAAATTCAAAATGCCACCACTAACTTTGAGTGCAAGTCGGCAATACGTTTCTCCAGCTCTCGGAGGCGCTTCTTCATTTGTATGCGCCTCAGGGGCGACGCTCCTCCTGTTCCGTCGACTCCAGATATCTCCCGGAGCAAGGCCTCGCGCATTGCCGTCAGGTTGCGCTCTGTCTCTTTGCCTTCGTCGATCTTTGCCTCGACGTCCTTGATCAGCGGCGCCTCTCTTCGAATTATCTGCGACACATACCGGGCAGATATTGCAAACTTCTCCATGCAACAAACTGAGTTGAATAGTCCCAAAAGAAAGAAATTCTATTCTTTTTCTTTTTCTCGTGCTGATGGAGCTACTAAAAGAAAAGATGACTTGGTTTAGATTGACGAACTGCGCACTGATAACTTTAATGCCGTATGTTTCACACTCATAAGTTTATTATTAGCGGATAAAATGAAGGTTAATTTATTAAGTTTCACGTGACGTCCAAAATTCCGAAATGTATTTCTTGTATTTTCGCAACATTCGTTCAATGAAATTTTTTGAAACTTCGTATGCTAGGTCTAAAGCACTCACAGATAACAATCTACTTCTTTTTTTATTAATTAGAAGCTGCGTACGACCCAATAGACACCTTTGAAATCTATGACGTCACGGTGTGGTGCGGGAATCTCAAAAAGGCGTCTCCACTCGTATTTTCTCTTCGTGCATTTTCGTGTCGCAGTTAGAGGGCTGTTTTCGGGATTGTGAAATTCCACTTAACTAATGCGCAAAAAATCGTTTTGTTCTTTGCTGCCCCTTCAAAGCCTTACAGCTCCTAAATACCAAAAGCGTCACTTTTGCCCCCACGAGACACTTGATAAGCAAAAAAAGCCGCAACGGTCACAATGTAGGTGGTGACAGTGCTTTGACGTCGTCCCACCGACTCCTACGACGTCATAGATGTTCATAGTTCCTAATCATATTTACACGCAATTTGTTGCTAACTATAACAAATTACATTGTGTTCTGAGGCAGCCAACGTGGCTATTTTATGCATTGCGGTGAAAAATTTATAAAGAAGCAAGCTTATAATCCGTCCAACCTCAGTGACATTAAGATTCTGAAGCCATGGCGCGAAATTCGAGACTAACATTTTAAACTCCATTTTCTAATTCACTCTCCAGGGGGAAAAAACAAATAAAATGTTACTTTTAGTTAATCCTGCAGGTGCATAACGCCATTACAGCGCTACTGAAACACCTAAAGTAAACAGATCTGACCAACTACCTGTAAACAGGATGTGCTCCCCCGTGGGCATGTGTTTGCGACTTCCTCTACGCCTCTTTATTTGGTCATTCATCCATCTTCCCCATTGCAGGGCAGCAAAGCGGAGTTGGGTCTGGTTAACCTCTCTGCATTTCCTTGTTTCTCCCTCTGTCTGACCTTTCAAATCTACATCTTCCTTTAAAGATGCACGCTCTCTTTTAGAAAGTCTTGACTCCCTTTCGGAAGCACAACTCTCGATGATAATTGACGTGAATATTTACAAAAATAATGTGTGGCAGGTCCGAACTAACATAAATGAGTAATACGTATTTTTATAACTTTAGAGTGTGACCAATGATCTCTAATCTCAAAATTAGGCATGATTAGGCACAATATATATACCAATATAGAGTTATTCAAATATTTACGTCGCGTTGATCACCACTATCATCATGGGTAGCGCCGGCGGTGACCCTGGCGGAAGGCAAGCCTTGGTGGCGGGCGAGAGTTGAGTGAGTCTCTTCTGTGCTTGGCGGTTGTCGCAAACGGTTGTCTCTAGCGTGGGTCCCCGATGCGTGGCACCGTGGGCTGCGCGTCGGGGGCCTCGTGGTAAGTCAAGCGTTGGGGACACCGCCTAAGGTGTGTTATGTGTTTGTCATGTATTGTATGTTTGTCGTGCTTGTCATGGAGTGTGTGGTAATATTGTCCACAAATGTCCTAGCGTGTTGATAACGGTTGATGTATCGATTCGGCGGGCGGTATCGTCGTTCTAAATTGGGTAAATAAATGTATGTGTTGTTTGGTTTGTACCGACCACGTCTGCTGTGTCCGTTCACCAAGAGCGCGGCGTGGCACTCGCTCGCCAAGTTAAGACACCACAATACCACGTTCCCCTTCAGTATCCTTATTTTTAATGGCGATGAAAGGTGTTCGTAAATGTTCGGCAGATCTCACGCCTTGTGGGAATCAGTTTAATGTGAATCAGTTGGCTAGTAGTTATCTACGCTGCACCATCAGGCAGTGATGGAAGCATTACGATGTGTATCAACTTCGCGTGGCTCAGTGGTGGAACGTTTGACCCGCCACGCATAAGGCTTGGGTCCGATTCCTGATACGCGCTCTTCGAACAATTACGCGACTATGCTGTCCTTTCACGTACTTTTATTCACTCTGCCGCATAGGCTTAGGCTTTTAATACGTAGAGAGGAAGTGGGGGAGGTCCGACCTAAATAAACGTGCTTTGACAGAGGCACGCAAAGAAATTCTTTCATATTATTATTAATAACTTGCACATTAATTTTCACAAGTTTCATTCTCTCAATACATCACCTGTCTAGAACAAAATGCTTCTGAAAATTAGGGGGGCGTAAGTATACGACCTGATAGAAGCTTGCTTCAGGCATCCCTATAACCCATATTCCCGTGCCTATTGTGCTCATGTAGATGAATGATTGTGTTGCATAGCAGTTTCGTGCTTGAAAAGGTGCGATGATCTTTTTTTTTTAATTTGGTGAACTTTCCTCTAAGTTTCACGCTTTTGCGGACCATTTATTTTGTAAATGCTATGCACGCTGACACCCGCGCGGGTGACATTCGTTGAAACAATCTACTACACGTCCATTTTCACCATTACACTTGCCTGTTCCGCACTGTTCTGTGTTAACTTGCTTAGACGAATGAGTTAGCAGATCAAAACTTACGTTCATTTCATTCTTGTCAGCGTTCTCCTTCACGCTAGTGATAGGTTTGTTTTGAGTTTCGTCGTCAGACTTTTCTTCTACTTTGCTGATGTTTTCGTTAGTATTGTTGCCGGAACGCAGCTCTAGAGCAGCTCCGCCATTATTATCGGCTGGCTTTTCGGTGTTTTGATTACTTCTTGCTTGCACATCTGCAAGAAATAGTGTAATGGACGTAGATGTCATTATACCGTAACTTCAACCTTATTGCATTTGGGAACAAGGAATATTTTGATGAAGCTAATTTTAAGCATTGTAGCTCTTGATATCGTCACGTCGTCATACTCTGCCTTATATAGTCGTCCTTTTAGTCGTCACTATATTATTAGGGTGAAACCTTTAGACGCCTCAGTAAAGATGAAAAGTGACAGTCGGCATTGGCGTCAACACAAGCGATGCAAAAAGTCACATTCATGTGATTACATCCCCAATGATGTCGTCATGACGCCACTGATTATCAATATTGCGAAGTCAGCTTGACGTCTCTGTGACGTCATCAAGGCATTCGATGCGGGAGGCCTTGCGAAACTATGCTTGCTGCACAAACCTTTCTGGGGTGGCGGGATCAATACAACCGAACAAAAGAAAAAGATGAAGACTTTTGCCTTAGAATCATCTTATGCTATTGTATTGGCGACCACGCGAATTCCTTTCATCGGGAAAGAAAGAAAGTGCTTAAAGTTACTCGATTTGTTTGTTAGTTTGTTTGTTGTGGTTGTTGCTGTTGTTGTTGTTATTGTCATTGTTGCTCTGGTTGTTGTTGCTGCTGCTGCTATTGCTGTTTACCGTAATTGACGTCAACAGGTAATGAAACTTCTCTAGCCCTCAATTTCAGTAGGCTTTATAATTACGTTGATGTGGATCATGAAACGCAATTCCCTTACAGTACTGAGAACTGGTGCAATAGAAATGTGCACAGAACTTTTCGGTGACGTATTTACTCTCATTTCTGACGCCCTAAATGCAACTAAATCAATATGTCTTCCACAGTTGGTACAACTCTTACGATTCAATATTTCTCAAATTAGGTTAGCTTAAGGAAAGTAGACATATGGACACTTCCTCGGTGTGTCTAAGTAAACAGATAACAACGTTTTTTTTTCGTCCACAACAGTGCTGTTTCATAGTTTCATACTCCTGATGAGGACACTTACTGGTGCCGCACATTTTCTTACTGCAACACAAAACAGTCAAAATTGGAACACGCCATTGTCGAACTACTAAAGAGGTCGTCGCGTCTGACTCACTTTATGCAACTTGTATAATTGCAATCATTGCAATACATTGTGAAAAGCATCTACTCTTTCTTTCTGCGATCTTTTCTTTTTTTTTTTTTTGTCGATAACGAATCTGCTGTTCATTGATCCTCCCGGCTTGTTTTTCAGCATCACGCCTCTGTTCTTGTCAGGTTTATCAGTGTTAGTCTTATCATTTCTCTACATGTCGCAACTCAGAACAAGTGATGATGCTTATGATCACTGGCTCGCAACTTTGTCGTTACAGTGTTGATTTTCTTTTCTCGGCACAACTTTCTACAAATATTTTAACTACAGTTTTTATTCCTTCCTGTGCTCTCATGTGAATCGTCAAGATAGGAAAAAGTTGAATATAGAAAACAGCGCCTACTTACTGATATATGGCGCTGCATAAATCACGCAATTTACTCTACCTTTGATCTTTAGGGCGGCTCCAGAGCCATTTACCGTAGCGAAGCGGTTCTAAGCATCAATTAGGCAACGTAGTCAATGAATTGTTAGCGATGGTTCAAAACGAGGGACTAGCCACTCAGCCAAATCGAATTACAGCAAAGCTTGGCTATAGTCACAGCAGCAGATTTAGTCCCAAAAGCTATTGATTTATGTGGGATTTAACGTCCTAAAACCACCATATGATCATGAGAGACGCCGTAGTGGAGGGCTCCGGAAATTTCGACCACCTGGGGATTTTTAACTTGCACCAAATCTGAGCACAGGGGCCTACAACATTTCCGCCTCCATCGGAAATGCAGCCGCCGCAGCCGGGAGTCGATCTCGCGACCTGCGGGTCAGCAACTGAGTACCTTAGCCACTAGACCATCGTGGCGGGGGAAAGCAATCAGATTCATGTGTATGACTTAACTGAATGATCTGGTTGTAAGGCTCTAGGGTAACACTACGTCATCGCTGCGCATCTGTTATCATGGATTCACAGCATTATGTCTGCTCTCAATTCTTCATTAAGGAAACAGCATTTGTGATCTACACTTCGACAGAAAGTATACCGACATCAGCAGCGGCTGTAAGGAGGGTCGAAAAAAACGGGAAGGGGGAGGTGCAATCTCCCACTATTCAGTTTCTTCCATCCAGTGTACTCTAATGCAAAGCCAGTCAATTTTAGTAGTGACCGATGAACTCTTTAGCTTTGCATAAGCTTTAACAAGAATTATTATCTTCCAACATCTGTTTTGCCTGACCCACGGTGTAGCGTACCTCTATCTATCTATCTATATCTATCTATCTATCTATCTATCTATCTATCTATCTATCTATCTATCTATCTATCTATCTATCTATCTATCTGTCTGTCTGTCTGTATGTCTGTCCTGTCTATATATCTATCTGTCTATCTGTCTGTCTGTCTGTATATCCATCTATCTATCTATCTATCTATCTATCTATCTATCTATCTATCTATCTATCTGTCTGTCTGTCTGTCTGTCTGTCTGTCTGTCTGTCTGTCTGTCTGTCTGTCTGTCTGTCTGTCTGTCTGTCTGTCTGTAAATTCAGAGGTATGTCAAGTTTTTTTTTCTCAATCAAGTTGTTTGATTACACAGACACGTAGAGCTTAATTTTGCGAAAAATGTTAATGCCGCTCCCAGCTCCCAAGTCCAAGCTAGAATGTCATATCATACTCTCCCAAAGAAAATTATTACTAATTCTCTATTCCTTAACAAGAACCAGTGGCACCGCGTAGGACCGACATATATCTGGCTACATTACCATGCCTTACCTATATATAACACAATGCAGGTTCAAGGAAAAATGTTCACTTCCTTCTTCTTACATCTCAGCCCCTTTTCTCGAATAACCATACGCATAGCAAATTCGTTTCAACCAACTCATGCCCAGTCTTGATCGTCTCACCGTCTCGCCTGTGGCTTACCGGTTGTCTTGGCCACGGAATGAGCCAGCGCAGCCAATATAACCAGCAAGTAGAATCTTGTTGCAATCCTGAGGTACAGCATGGTAGGCAGCATTTCCTCGAATGACGGTAGACGCGCTTTAATCGGTGCAATTAGCGGGCTTCTCGGGTGCGTGACGCCCAACTCCATTGGCTCTGCCTCGGCGCATACATTATCTTGGCTCGAGTGCATTGTTTACGCATCCACGAACCTTGTTTTGCTTGTTTTCAACGATCAAAGAGGCCGATCTTGCCTTGAATCGCGCGACGTGACACTCAATTAGGCTTCTCTCCGGTGTCGATTATGCGGCCAGGCTCGGGTCAGTGTGTGACACTAGCTCAACAGCAAGCCGCCAGGACGTGTCCTTTTATCTCCACGTGCCGCCCCAGTGCGAACTCGGCTGTAGGGGAAGAAACCTGAGCAGCTGAAACCCTAAAATAGCAGCTGTCCGTGGCCGTGGCTAGCTGTCTTGCGTTCTCACGAAAACATTCGTTATCTTTGAGTGGTGTTACGTAAATCTGTCACTAAGCGCATTATAGTAGAATTCGGGTTTTACGTTCCCTAAACTATGACTATTTCTTCTTGTGTCCGCCTCTGTGGGTCACTGGCTAAGTGCTCTGCTTTTGACCCAGAAGTCGCGGGTTCGATTCCGTCTGCTACGGTCGCATTTAGTTGGAGGCGAAGTGGTAGAAGCCCGTGTACAGTCCGATGTCAGTGCACGTTAAAGAACACCAGATGGTACGAATTTCCGAAGACCTCCTCTATCGTCATCTTTCATAATAATATCATGGTTTTGGGACGTGAAACTTCACATATTCATAATATTCATTCTTCTAGTGGCGAAGAGCGGAGAAGTGTGAAAGCGGGGAGGGGGAGACGTCTCAGTATTTTTTTTCTATTTTCTCAAGCTTGATTGATTGATTGATTGATTGATTGATTGATTGATTGATTGATTGATTGATTGATTGATTTGATTGATTGATTGATTGATTGATTGATTGATTGATAAGTGGAGATTCAACGTCCACAAACCCACCATATGAATTATGAGAGACGCCTTAGTGGAGGATTCCGGAAATTAGGCCAGCGGGGTTCTTTAACATGCCACCTAAGCTGAGCGGATGGTGCTAGAGCAATTTGGCCTCCATCAAAAATGCAAGCCGCCGAAGCCGGAATTCGATCCAGCAACTTGCGGTTTAGCAGCCGATTACTTTAGCCACTAGACCATTGCGGCAGGGTTATTTCCTCAGGCTTTTCCACCGAGTCTGCCATAGTGCGAAACCAGTGAATTTTAGTAGTGGCCGATGAAGCCTTCAACTTTACATTACCTTTAACGTAAGTTATTACTCTTCGACCTCTCTTTCGCCTCACACACAGTGTAGCGTACCAGCTTTTTCAACCTTTATGCTGTTTAGAGGCAGAAGAAGTGTGAAGTGCATTTTTTCGTCGATTTTCACCACTTGCGTTGTCAGTTACCTTTGTCGGTGCGTGTAACAGCTATATACCAAGTGGCTGTATATAGGGATCGTCACTGACGATGTTCTGACAGAGGTCTGTACTGAAAAGTGACATGCCATTCTATTGACTCCGAGATCCCGTAACCGTGTATGCAGGCATCGGTTGCAGGAATTGGTTGTGTGAAACGGCGCATATCGAATGAATGTGATAAACTTTACATGAAAACGCGTCAGTCGCACTGCTCAATAGGAAACACGAACGCTACATTATTTGAATCTTAAAATCTGCCTCGGCTATGAGAAAATACATGAGGGGTCGGAAGACTAGAGTTTTAAAAAATATCCTGTTTTGATGTCAGTTTTTAAACGTATAAAATGGTAATTAGGTGGTCATCTCGTGTCGGCTAACTCTCTTGTAGTGAATATGCTGGATACAAAAAGCCATTTAAGAAAGCCTGGCATTTTGTCAGCGTATCTCTGAGCAGGCAGAATTGAACAGGCAGGATTTTAGCATTCTCTCTAAAGAAACACCCTGAAAAGTTCAAACTAATTAATTGCTTGATTTCCTCAGTGTCATGAAAATCGTTATTCTTCTTCAATATTTATTATTAAATAATATTTTGGGTTTTTTCTATTGGCACCACCAAAGCCCGCTCTTGCATTACTTAAGGCAATGAGCATCGATCTCACGTTTATTAAATTGACAGGCATCACTTGGACCGAAAAAAAGAATTGGCGCATGGATGGATGGATTGGATGGATGGATGGATGGTGAGGGATGGATGGATGGATGGATGGATGGATGTGATGGATGGATGGATGGAGATGGATGGATGGATGGATGGATGGAGGACAGATAGAGTGCTCAGATTCGGGACACGTTAAGAACCCCATGTGGTCGAAATTTCGGAGCCCTCCCCTACGACGTCTCATAAATTATATGTGGTTTGGGACGTTAAACTTGACATATCAATCAATCATATATCATGGATGAATTAATGGGACGGATGGACGGATGGATGTTTGAGCATTGCCCTCCATATAGGGGCGGTGACATAGGTGCCGCCAGGCTCAGCAGAAAAAAAAAGAAACTTTTGCCCTCTTCTTTTAGCTAGACTTGATGTCCTGTGATTTTCGATTAGGTCTATCTTACTATAACTCAACGCACGTTCACAGCCTGGTTATCAGCCCTCATGTATAGTGTCCTTCTTTTTCCTTCTTTTGTTGGTCCTTTTTGTCGGCGTTTGTCGATGCCTTCTACACCGGGTGCAAAAGGGATCGCATGCTGCGCCATCTAGATGTCAAGTGCGGTAATTACATATACATGGTTGGCCACCGAAATTGCCTGGTCATTGCAGAATTCTCTGAGTGTGCGCATATAAGGCAATGGTACTATGACAGATCATTGCTCTGACAACTCAACCACTCGAGCAGGCACCGCATTTACGACAACGCATGTCGGGTGAATGAGGACAAGAACATGACATTAAGTCGTTCGGTTGATTTTACACGAACGGGTGCGAAGGCACGTTACCTATCCGCAAGCTGCTTTCAACTGCGCTCGGCCATCAGCCGGCCATTCCGGTAAACTTCCCGAAGAGACCCAGCCAAAAGTTGACGATGCCCATGCACAGCTTCAAGCTCGTTCTGACGTACCCCATCACCACGTCAGTGTAGAATTGCTCAAGGCCTCCCAGCATGCCGTGCGCCATACGCTGGCTTCGTATCCTTCCTGTCTTGATGCCGCTGATGACGTCCGTAAATCGTCTTTGTGCTTCAAGGTTCCTGTGACGACCAGTAGAAGCAAAAATTAAATAAATAAATTGTGTTATTAAACGTAATAAAACTATGTTCGATATTCGGTTGCATTTGAAGAGAAAGTACGTGCATGCGATAAATCGCATTTTGAGGCAATCATTATTTAGAGACAGCATGGCTACAAGCTACGCTTCTCCCATACACCCGTCCAGTGCAAGTGAAACGAACATGGATCCCTTTCCATCATTGCTGTACAACTCCTAACAGGCAGCTGCTTCAAGGTTTTGCTCACATTACCAGATTATAGGAGGTTATGCTGTATGTTTATCAGATCTATGCACCTTTTCTTTCATATTGCCTGTTTGATAGACAAGTATAATGTGATCAGGTGTTTTCACAGTGTACTCTTTTGAGACGAGAACCTGGATGCCTCGTATTAAGAAAGTGACGACCACTGATATAACACGAGTGACACAAATAAACATCATCGTGCGAACGTAATCGTAATGTCATGGTGACGTAACTGGATGACGTCATCCCAGCTGTGGCGGCTACATTTCCGATGGAGGCGGAAATGTTGTAGGCCCGTGTGCTAAGATTTGGGTGCACGTTAAAGAACCCTAGGTGGTCGAAATTTCCGGAGCCCTCCACTACGGCGTCTCTCATAATCATATGGTGGTTTTGGGACGTTAAAAGCCCCCACAAATCAAATCAAATCAATGTAACTGGATGACGTCATCACACGACATCATCGCTTGAGCAAAAGTGAGCTGATCCCGTGGAGAGAGAGAATGAGAATACAAGCAAGGCTGGAAAGTTCACACTGCAGGACGGAGCCTGGTAGGCTGCCCAGCACAAGAAAAGAGAGAGAGGCAAGGAAAGTCAGAGAGCAGGAGAGGAAAGTTACTGTTTCAGCCATCGTAACAGTTCCACGCTTGTCATTACAAATGGCAAATCAGTACCGTATTCTTGAGAAAACCCAATGGCGTCTTTCTTGCCTTTCAGAACTGTGATGGGCAGCGCCATGGTCCTAATATCTTCGCAACAGTGGAAGCGCTTCCTTCCAGATTATCTAGAGCTCTACGGAGGTGAAGTTTCTCTCTTGAATAAGTCGTGCAGTAACTGAAACGGTGCTCAAAAGTTTCGCCAACGGCCGAGTTGGTCACTCGGCGTTGTTAGACATCTCATTATTAAATGAAAATGCGTTGATAGATGCTGCACCCACACGGAAACGGAACAGCGCTGTATCTTCCTCTCGGGAAAGACGAGGTAGTTAGTAGCCGCAGCCGTACTTTCGGGTCGAGGGAAGGCAATTGATGGTGTGTGAACTGTTTTGTTTGCTCTTTCTGCATTGCCATGTTCTGCGCCAGCTTACGTAAGCATCGCGCAGCGTCGATTCTTGATTATGGTGCACGCAGAAATATAGGGTTTTTCTGCGTGTGATTTTGGCAGCTCCATCGGTAAGGTCTTTGCCAGAGATGCCGCAATGATGTGGTAGTCACAGAAACAAAACGCTGTGTCTTTTTGCGATCGCATAGTGCGCTACTTCTCGTATTTCACGCACAAGTGGTTCGTACGATCCATTATGAATTACCGATGAAGGACAGTGTAGAGCCACCTTTTAATCGCAGAATAATCTTCATGGATTAGCCGGCTGTTGCTAGATGATAGACGGCACCATCAGGGCAGCAAGCTCCGAATCGGTCGATGTCCTCACGTGACAAAGCGTGTAAGCGAGGTTGGTGTTTCGGGATCAGGTAATGGTGGCGCCGGTAGAGTTGGTGTGGATCGTATAGAGCCATTCGTATTTACGTGAAATCTGTCAGCATATAAAGTGTGCAAACAGTG